AAATATATATATATATATATATATATATATATATATATTTGATATATCTAGGACAATGCAGTTTGTACAATCTTTTCTGTACATTATTGTTGACATTATAAGTGTTGCCGACAATAGATTAGGTGAAAAAACTGTCCAACAGTGTATTGCCACATGGCAAATTTTAAAAGATATGTACACCAAGCATGATTTTATATTTTATATCCCAATCTATGTTCAATATATCAAAATGAAATAAGTGAGGAACTTTGGTAAACTCTCTTAATATTCATTATGAATAAATAATATAGTAAATGTGGAGTAAATACATCAAAAATTAATCTTTTATTTATCAACGCCCATGAAATTTGAAGCATAAACTGTAAACCCATGCTGTCAATTATGGGCAATTTAATTTAATTTTTTTATTTTTTTTAAATGCCATCTAAATAATTTCGTAAACTCCAATAATACATTGGTGAAAAAAAAATTAAAAAAAAAATTCCACAATTCAGAGATTTCACTATCTTAGACAGAATATTTTGTTTCAAATAGAAGCATTAGAAGAAAGAAAACACAAAATCAAAATAATCATATAATAACAAAAGTCAACAACTTCGTCATTAAACTCACTGTTGGAAATTAATTATAATTTCAGTTTGTTGGTAGTCTGTCCTATTCTCTAGGACATTTATTTGTTTCATTTTTAGTGGGTTTATGGTGCATGTACGCGTCCAGTATTTTCTATTTTTCAGCTAGCATGATGTTTGCACATTGTGTAGTGCCTAATTTATAGGTATTATTGTTGTGTAATTGCCTATATAAAGGATTGGATGGAATGAATGCAGTGTGCCAAAAATTAGAACTCAACTTTCTTTTCTTTATCTCTTTTACAACAGTGGTATCAGAGCCAAGTTTAGAGAGTGAGAGTTGTATAAAAGTAAGAGAGTTCATAAAATATATTGAGTGTGAGTTACGAGAGTCAAAAAAGGGAGAGAAGTGCTTGTAAAACAAAGAAAGCAGTAGCTTTTTTTAATTTTGTTTCTGTCTTTGCAGCAACAAAATTCTACGTCACTCAATGGCTACGAATAACTTTGTTCAACCAGCTATTCCACGCTTTGATGATCATTATGATCATTGGAGCATGCTCGGAAAATTTCTTTTTTTTTTTTATAGGTAATCAGAGAATTTTATTCCTTAAAAGAGAGTACACAAGGGGTATACAATCACTTTAAGCATGAAAGGAACAACAAGAAATTAGTCAACCCTACAACAGGATTTTTAGCCACTACATTAAACCAAATATACAAAGTCAATTAAAATAATTCTCTTATCTGTTCTGTTGTCTTTGTTTGGTCTTCGAAACATCGATTGTTCCGTTATCTCCATATGCACCATACAATGCATCCCGAGATAAGATTCCATAGAAGTTTGCTATCCTTATCGCGAAATTTTCTTCTCCATGCCCACACCAAGTCTTCTATACGCTTAGGTAGCACTCAATCCATTGATTGAGAAGCCAGAATACTGTTTCAAAGCCAACGCACACCATCACAATGAATGAATAAATGATCAATCGTCTCTCCATCCTTCTTGCACATATAGCACCACTTGGTTACATAAAATCCTTTTCGTCGAAGATTATCCACCGTTGACACCTGTCCCCTCATAACTGTCCACAATAGAAATGTTACCCGTGGAGGCAATTTACTTTGCCACACCATCTTCCAAGGTAATGAACTCTCCACAAATCCCAAAAGGGATTGAAAGTATGAGCGGACTGAAAAAATACCATCTCGAGCTAATCTCCACTTGCTACAATCACCCTCTCCTACCCGAATTTATATCTCATACAGAGCGGTCAAAAACAACGAATAATCTTCCAATTCCCAATCTTGTAAACCCCTCCCAAAAGTAATATTCCAACTATATCCCCCATTATGGATGTCAAGTACATCACCTACCATAGCAGTAGGCTCTAACGCAATGCGGTACAATGAAGGAAATCCCTCCTTTAACGGTTGATCGCCACACCAACTATCATCCCAAAATCTAATATCAGTGCCATTTCCCACCACAAAATTTAGTTTGTCCTTAAAATCACTCCATCCCCTTCGGATATACCTCCACAAACTTACCCCATAGGAGCCACGACCCTCAACCGTACACCAACCCCCCTCCATCACACCATACTTTGCCCCAATGATTTCTCTCCAAAAGCTCTCCCTCTCCACTCCAAATCGCCACAACCACTTGCCCAATAAAGCCTTATTAAACAAAACAAGGCTCCTCACTCCAAGCCCCCCATCCTCATAGGCAAACAAATAGTACCCCAATTAACCAAATGCATTTTCCTCTCCTTCCCTAACCTTGCCCACAAGAATTCTCTTTGAAATCTCTCTAATCTATTTGCCCCTGCAACCGTAATAGGAAACAATGACAAAAAGTAAGTGGGGAGATTTGAGAGAGTGGATTTAATAAGGGTAAGTCGGCCTCCCTTAGAAAGATACATACGCTTCCACACTACTAACCTTCTCTCCATTCTTTCTATAATACCATTCCAGATATGTGTACTTTTAAACCGTGACCCTAACGGGAGGCCTAAATATAACATGGGCAATTGTGCAATCCTACATCCCAATATGCCAGCCAACTCCTCCACGTTAGTGAAATCCGCAACTGGAATAACCTCAGATTTCCCCAAGTTGATTTTTAATTCAGACACCGCTTCAAAACATAGGAGCAAACGACGCAGGTTCCTGAATTGTTCATCATCCGCATCACAGAAGATCAAGGTATCATCTGCAAATAGCAAATGAGACTCCTGCAATTGGCCAACCCTAAAGCCCCTTACCAAACCCTCTCCCACAGCTCTTTCAAACATCCTACTGAAAGCTTCCATCACAATAACAAAAAGCAATGGGGATAGTGGATCTCCTTGCCGCAATCCTCTACTACTCCGAAAATAATCCTCCGGCGTTCCGTTGACCATGATTGAGAACGAAACAGTAGAAATACAGAACTGAATCCATTTACACCACTTATCCTCGAAGCCGCACCTCCTAAGCATATATAAAAGGAAACCCCAGTTCACATGATCATATGCCTTCTGAATATCGAGCTTACATAGCATCCCGGGAATTCCCAAACGCAATCTTGAATCAATGCATTCATTCGCTATAAGCACAAAGTCCAAAATCTGGCGACCTTTTACGAAAGCATTCTGAAACTTGGACACTACTTTCCCGAGCACCTCCTTTAATTTGTTCGCCAGGACTTTCGCAATAATCTTATACACCCCACAGATTAGGCTAATAGGGCGAAAGTCCTTAATGTCAGTCGCTCCCGATTTTTTAGGGATCAGCACAACAAATGTAGCATTAGAACTTTTTTGGAACCTGCCACGTTCAAAAAAATATGTAAACACATCCAAAATTTCCGATCGCACCACCTCCCAACAAGCATTGTAAAATGAGAATGAGAAACCGTCCGGTCAAGGGGCCTTATCCTCGTTCATGCTAAACACTACCTCCTTGATTTCATCCTCCTCAAAAAGTCGCTCTAACCACCCGGCATCATCCTTCGTGATAGTACAAAAATCCAAACCTTCCAACTTTGGCCTCCACTCAAACTGCTCCTGATATATATTCTGATAGAAATTCACCAATTGGCTTCCAATTTCGATTGGTTCTTCATAAGTTATCCCATCCACTTCCAACACTGTAATCGAGTTTTTGCGCATATTAGAATTAGCGATCCTTTGAAAAAACTTAGTACATTTATCTCTTTCTTTCAACCAATTGACCCTAGATTTCTGACGCCAAACAATCTCCTCCATCTCCACCAACCTCTCCAATTCTTCCCTTAATGCTCTACGTTTCTCCTTCTCCTCCCCAGCCAACCTTCGACTCTCCTCCCACCTATCCAACTCATCAATCTCGGAAAGACACTGAATTTTATGACAGTTTACATTGCCCACAACCTCCTCATTCCATTTCTTTAAATCTCTTTTCAAAGACTTCAACTTCTGATCCAACACAAAACTAGGAGACCCCCTGACATCGTAAGATATCCACCAAGTCTGTACTTGCTCCCTAAAACCTTCAACTTTCAACCACATTTTTTCGAACCTAAAAGGCCTTCGTCCTCCACCCGTCCTGTTCCCAGTTAACATAATGGGGAAATGATCAGAGTACACCCTCCCCAATCTTCTCTGAATGACATCTGAATACTTAGCCTCCTACTCTCCGCATATCAAGAATCTATCAATACGAGAAAGAGCAAATTGATCCCGATTGGATGACCAGGTAAAATCTCCTCCAATCATAGGCAAATCCACCAACATATTCTCCCTTATAAAGTCTGAAAAATCCTCCATAGCCTTCGTGAGTCTCCCACCGTTCGACCTCTCAATAGGAAATCGAACCACATTAAAGTCACTTCCTATACACGATGGTGGATTCCACCAAGCCATCATTCAGCCAGTTCGTCCCACAAGCCCCGTCTACTATCCTCAATATTAGGCCCATAAACACCTATGAACATCCACTGAAATTCATCCCCAATGCTTCTGAACGACATCGAAATTGAGAACAATCCAACACTCACCTCCTCCATCTCAAGCACTCTGGTGTCCCACATGACTAATATGCCTCCAGAAACCCCTGATGATCCCATAAACTGAAACCCTACATGCTGTCCCCCCTATAAGCTACTAACCACCGCCCTTGAGATGACCTCCATATTGGTTTCTTGTAAGCATACAAGATTCGCTCCCCAGCCCCTTAGCAGATGTCGAACACCCATCCTTTTCCCAACTTCATTAAGTCCCCTTACATTCCAGCTAATGATTTGTGGTATCATTTCAACAGTCCAGCATCCCTCCCCAGTACTCCATTCTTGGATTCACCACCTTCGCCATCATAATTAACTGACCATTCGAGCCTCTTAAGTTCACGATCGCCCTTTCTTCTTAATTTACCTTCTTGTTTACTCATCTTCTGTCCCCTATTGGCCTCCAAATCCTCAAACAATTGTAGTAATCTGTTTTCGTATCCATCACAAGACACGCCCATTAACTTACTGAAATCCTGAATTTTCTGTAAAACCCAGTTCGAAGGTGGGTGTCCAGCTTCGAATCCAAACAAATCCCCTGTTTCCTCCACCTGTATAACATCACTTTCTATTTCTCCTTTCTTGGCTCTATCTACCCACAACACCAGTGCTTTTTCCATCCCCAAGTCACTTACCTTCATTGACTTAGAGTTCCCTCTATTATATGTGTTCACAACCCTTGTTGTCAAAGGTGTCGCGTCGTGCTCTATCACCCCTGATAGTACATGCCTCGTCTCTTGGTCGCCTAGTAAAAGCCCATCTTTGTGTGGGACTGTGTCCATTCCACTCATCGTTACTGTCTCCAAGTTCACCATACTCGGCTCCCCTTCTTTAGAC